CAGATCGATGAAGTACACTGCTGAGGGGAGCAGCGGGTGGGTCAAGAGAGGTCTGCCACGCCATGTGGATCTCCTCCGGGGTAGGCGGGGATGGAACTCATGCTGAAGTGGCTTAAGTTTCTTAGTGCTGTGCTTTAACCTGCTGCGCCACCAGGGAGGGCCTCTCATTGCTTTTTTAAGGTCTTTTCCCCCATTATTCAGAGAGGCATTGTGTCTTGAATTAAAATTCAGTATTTTTTTTCCACTCTCCATTTTACAGTTTTGTGGTGTCATTTTATTGCAAATATCCTTATCTATTTTGTTCATACTGTGTTAGTTGATCCATTGCACTTGTTCCATTGATCACTGGAGCCTTTTTTGTCACCAATGACCAACTTTTAGAGGACAAACAGTGATCTTGAACACTGTGCCTTTGATTTCCTTGTGCATCTGCTATGTAAACTTATGGATTGCGATACTGATTCTGATCTCTTTTATAACCAAAGCTCATATTTGGAGATGGGGACACAAGGAAGGAAGGCAGGAAGGAAAAAACTAATTTATTTTAAGTATGTCTTAGAGTACACTAAATTCCATTTTGAAGAAGGAAAATATTTACTATCTTTCATTCATTTAATATCTGGTTAATGCATAGAATAGATTCTAAAACAATCAGTAGTTATTTGGTAAAGTTTTTAATCTGAATTAGGGAGGCTCAGTAAATATCGTATTTGAATTTATGTCAGGAAACCTATGAAATAGCATTCTAATCAAATCAACAATGCAAAGGTAACCCCTTATTTTCTCACTAAACTATTCATTCAGGATGGGGAGGATAAAAAATCTTAACCAACCGCTTGGCTATTCTGCAATACTATAATAATAGCTTTTCTATACTATTCTTGCCTCACTGGATCGCCTCCATCCTCAGAACAGTTCTTTGATGACAGCACTATTATCATTTGACTGATGGGGAAACTTATTGACTCCACTAGGATCTAGCTGGTAAGGTGGAAAACTAGCTAGTAAGGGTGAAACTAGAGACAAAACTGTGTCATGTGACACCAAGCCTCTTCCTACATACATCTCGCTTCCCATACACACTTAAGTACAGAACCAGGGCGAGCCACACCTTACTGAATTAATGAGTGAACTATACTAGGATTGAGCTGCGTTATGACCAATTCTAGCTGGTGCACTTTTAGTTAATAAAATGATTTTTTTTTAAGATTTATTTATTTGTGCATACAGAACTGGGGTACAGGCCAGAGGCTCAGGGGCGGCGAGAGACAGAGTGGGGAGCAGAACAGGCAGATCGACGAAGTGCATTGCTGAGGGGAGCAGCGGGCGGGTCAGGAGAGGTCTGCCACGCCATGTGGTCACCTCCGGGCAGGCAGGAATCGAACTCATGCGGAAGCGGCTTTAGATTCTCAGTGCTGTGCTTTAACCCGCTGCGCCACCAGGGAGGGCCAATAAAATGATTTTTTAAATACTAACTTTGTGAATGAAAAAAGCCACTTTGGTAACTTCTACTCTGCCCTCGTGATACTTTACCTCAGCGTATGATAAAATATACACATGGACTGGACTTTTCTGTGACTGAAGATATTTGCAAAAGGTAATTGTGTCAATTTAGACAGTTATTGGAGGTTGAAAGAAACATTACTCTTTCTGACTCTCAGTGCTGACGGGTTATCAGGGAAGGATCCTATATTTTCCAAAGTAAAAACAGTAATATAAGCCAAAGTTACCTCACCTAAAAAAAAAAAAAAAAAATCAAGAAGCAAAAAAAAAGAAACATTACTTTTTTTAGCATAGGTTCACAATTAAGTATTTTTAGAGTGTCTAAAATGACCAACTGAATTTCTGTTTTTCTTAAATAAAATGGAAGTTAAGATCTAGTGATTTCTCAGACCCCTTGAGACAAAACAGAGTTCCTGAATAAGAATGTTTTTCTTCTTGAGTTACAAACTCAAATAATGACCTTTATTCTTACTGATTCAGGGTTTTTAATGAAGCTTAAAGAATAAACTATTTTATAATTGGGCAACTTGGTTGACATCTTTATAGGGAAAAATGGTTTCACATTCCAGAAATCTGACAGAACAAGTGGCTCAAATACTGGGAAATAATATAGTAAGGGGAACACAGCAAAATCCTCTCACCCCAACGGCACAGTAACTTAACAGTGGCCAACTGAAGCTTCAGCCACCTCATAAAGGGCCTTCCTTGTAAATGAGAAAAATGTGCATTTTTTAAACAAAAACTGAAGGACTGTCATGATATCTTTCCGAGGCAACATAAATTTATAACACCGTATATGATTTAGGGATAGAGGTTCACACCTTTTTGTATGTTACCACACCACACCCATCACCAAAGCACCCATAATCTTCCACCACTTAATACTTTTGTATTAATTTTTCTAAGATTTTTTTATACTTTTGAGAATAAAACTTCCCCCACTATCCCTTATACCCTTTGAACCTTTTCTCCTTCTTCCTTCCCTCTTAACCTCAAAAGCCTCACTTCATTTATTGAAGGTTGCTTGTTTTTAAGTTTTGTAATCATCCCCTACCCTATATAAATGTCCAATATTTTCTTTTCATCCTGGCTTGCTTTATTCTACATGTTACCTCAAACTCCCTCCATTTTGCTGTAAAAGGCAGCATTCTCTTTTTATGGCTGAATAGTATTTCATTGCATGGATAGACCACAGCTTCTTGATCCCATCCTTCATCCATCATCAGTAGGCACTTAGGATGCTCTCTTTTCTTAGCTATTATAAAGAGTGCTATAGTAAGCACATAGAACACATGATCTTTTGAGTTTCTGGGTCATGTTCTTTGGATAGATACCAAGAGTGGGGTTACTAAAACATGTGGTGTTTCTGCTTTTGGGGTTTGGTTTTGTTTTGTTTTTAAAAAAGATTTATTTGTTTATGCATACAGAACTGGGGTGGAGGCAAGAGGGGCAAGGTAGTGAGAGGATTCACCAGAGACAGAGTGGAGAGCAGAACAGGCAGCTTGATGAGGTACACTGCTGAGGGGAGCCACTGGTGAGAGAGGAGAGGTCTGCGGCGCCTTGTGGAGCACTTCCTGGGCAGAAATTGCACCCTAGTGGCCTCAGCCAGCTTCACAGTGCTATGCTTTAACCCATATTGCACCACCGGGAGGGCCAGCTGGGTTTTGTTTACTAAGGTATATAGAGATTGCTTTCCAAAATGGCTGCACCAGCGTACATTCCCACCAACAGTATAAGACTTCCCTTTTTCCCATCCCCTCAAGGACTGGTTGTTGGGGGTCTTTTTCATATGTTTCATTCTCACAGGTGTGAAATGATATCTCATTGTGGTGTTGATCTGCATCTTCTTTACTAAAAGTGATATTCAACCTTTTTCCATGTATCTGTTGCTGAGCATATCCTCTTTGGTGTATTGTCTATTCACTTCATTTATCTGCTGTCCATTTATTCATTGGATTTCTTTTTTACTGTTAAATTGAATACATTTATTACAGATCTTGGATATTAACCCCTTGTGAGTTGTGCAATTGTGTAATATGTGAATGTTTCTGTGAATGTTTCATTAAAAAATGCCTTTTTAATCCTTTTACATTTTCTTTCACTAAATGAAAGCTTTTTAATTTGAAGTAATGCTACCTTTTTATTTTGCTTGTATTTCCATGTGGTAAGGGTTGAGTCCCTTTATTGTTGATGCCATGGGATGTGTCTCCAGTGTTTTCTCTGATACATTTTATTTCTGTGGGTCATATATCCAAGTTTCAATTCATTGATAGTGAGGTTTTTGGTTGTATTTTGTGTGGGTGTGTTTTGTTTTGTTTTGCACGTGGAACTTCACTGTATTACATATAAACTTAAAGTTTTCTCATCTCTACTTGTTAAAGAAACTCCCCTTTCTCCATTTTATGGTCCTGGTTGCTTAATTATAAATTATGTGAATTTATTTTTGAACTTTTGATTCTGCTCCATTGATCTTTGTATCTATTTGTGTTCCAATAGGCTATTGTTTCCATCACTGTGGCTGTTCAGTGTAACTTACAGTCAGTTAATATGTGGCTCTGTTTCCTCTCCCTTTTTTTCCCTCCTTAGCTATTTGAGGCCTTTTATGGTTCCATACAAATTCCCATATATTTTGTGCAACTTCTTTGAATAATGTAGCTGGTATTTCAGTGAGGATTTGTGTTGAATTTACACATTGCTTTTAGTAGTTATTTTGACTAAATAGATTCTTTCTATCCATGAGCATGGAATGTCTTTCCACCTCTTATATCAGGATCTATATCCTCTAATATTTTGTTTCTATTGTATAAGTCTTTTACCTATTTGATTAGGTTAATTTCTAGGTAATAGTCAATCCTTTTTAATGCCATTTTGAGTAGATTTACTTTCTTATTTTGAGTAGATTTACTTTCTTTTACTTTTTCTTTACTTTTTTTCCTATCATTCTTTGTATATTAAAATGCAGCCATGTTTTTTCTTTTAAAATTATTTATTTATATATATTTTATATCACTGTTCATTTGTGTACAGTGTTTGCTTTCTCCACTCAGGTGTAGTCCCTGTAAAACTCCCACCACCAAACCACCTGTGCACCATCACCATAGCTCCTTGTACTCTTCCCACTCCTGTTTTGACAACTCTTCCTCCCCTCCTGCAGAATATCTCTGATTTATAGTGTCTGTTAATGTTTTTAATTTTTATTATATAGTTTATTTTTACATCATTTTGTGCCTTTTTCCATCCCAGTTGTAATCTCTGTGGACTTGCCACCACCAATTCACCCATGTGCCATCACCATAGTCCCATGCACTCCACCCCCAATTTTTGATCCCGTTCCCCACTCCACCCCCATAAAATGTCTCTGGTATATAGTTGTTCATTATTTTTTTTTCTCCTGGTCCTCTATGCTCCTGCTATAAGTGAAACCATCCAGTATTTTTCTTTTTCTTTCTGGCTTATTTCTCTAACCATGATCCCTTCTAGCTCCATCCATGATGCTGCAAAAAGCATGAGTTTATCTTTTTGATTGTTGAGTAATATTCCATTGTGTATATGTACCACATCTTTTTAATCTAGTCTTCTACTTTTGGAAAATGCAGCCATTTTTTGTGTTGACTGAATCCTGCCATTTTGCTATATTCAGTTATTGTTTCTACAGGTTTTTGGTATAGTCTTTAAGTGTTTCTATGTATAGTATCATGTCATTGTGAATGAGAGTTTCATTTTTTCTGGGTACATTTTGCCTCCTTTTGTCCAATTGCTGTAGTTAAAATCTTTAATACTACACTTAACAGACTTGATGACAATGGCATCCTTGTCTTCTTTCTGATCTTAGGGTGAAAACTTTCAGTTTTTCATCTTTAAGTATTACATTGGTTGTTGGTTTGTGATATATGGCCTTTTGAATGCTGAGGTAAGTTCCTTCCACTGGCATCTTGTTTAAAGGGGTTTTTTTTTTAAATAATAAATGAGTGCTGAATCATATCAAATGCTTTCTCTGCATTTATTGATATTATTATAACATTTTAATCTTTTCTTTTGTTGATATGCATTACATTGATTGATTAACAGATATTAAACCATCCTTTCATCTCTGGAGTTTATTCCACTTAATCACAATATATTACACTTAATATATTGTTGAATTTGATTTGCTAGCATTTTGCTGAATATTTCTGCATCAATATTCATAAGGGACATTGGTCTGCAGTTTTCTTGTGCTGGCTTTGTCTGGGTTTGGCATTTAGGTAATGTTGGCATCACAAAATGTATTAGGGAAAATTCCTTCTTGGATTTTTAGAAATAATTTCAGCAAGATGGGAATAAGTTTTTCTTTAATGGCTTGAGAGAATGTGCTTGTGAAGCTGTCTGGCACTGGGCTTTTGCTTTATGGGAGATTATTGATAACTCTTTTAGTTTCTATGATAAGGTGTTTTTTCAACACTTCTATTTCTTCCTGGCTGAATGAACTACTTTTGTTCTAGAAATGTGTTCATTTTTTCAAGGTTTTTGAATTTATTTGCTTAGAGTTGTTCATAATAAGTTCTTGTGATCCTTTGTATTTCTATGCAATATGTGGTGATTTCCCCTCTTTCGTTTCTAATTCTCTTCATTAATATTTTCACTCTTATTTTCTTTGTTAGCTTCACTACAGGTTTGCATTTACCTTCTCAAAGATTAGTTTCATTGATCTTGTGTATGGCCTTTTTGCTATTACATGTATCCCTACCCTTTTTTATTGTTTCCTTTCTTCTACTAACTTTTGATCTTGTTTGTTCCTTTTTTCCAAGTGTGTTAGGTGTAATTTTAAACTGTTTATTTGGGTTATTTCTTGCTTCCTAATGTGGGCCTGCATTTTCTTTTCATCTTTGCTGGATCCTAGAAATTCTGATAGCTTGTGTCCTCATTTTCAATACTTTCTCATTTCTATTTTAATTTCTTCTTTGGTCAATACCTATTAAGCAATATGTTGTTTAGTCTCCATGTATTTTTGGCTTTCCAGATGTTTTAATTCATGACTTAAGACATTATGGTCAGAAAGAGTACTTGTAGGCCCTCCCTGGTGGTGCAAGGAGTTAAGTCTCAGCACTATGAAGTTGTCCACAACCACTGCAGCATGAGTTCGATCCCCAGCCAGAGAGCTGACCTACATGGCACAACAGACTTCTCCTGTCTTGCCTTCTGCTCCCCTCAGCAATGAGCCCCTGAACCTCTGGACTACACCCCATCTCTTGTATGCATAAACAAATAAATAAATCATTTTTTTAAAAAAAGAGTAATAGTTATTATCCCAGTTTTCATTGTTGTATTGACAATTGACTTGTATCCCAACATATGGCATATACTTGTAAATGTTCTTTGTACCCTTGAAAATGTAATGCAGCAATTTGGGGATATTCTGTAGATGTCTGTTAAGCCTATTTGATCAGTTTTTCATTTAAGGATATTGTTTCCATATTTATTCTGTCTTGTTGGTCTATCCATATTTGTAAGTTGAATATTTAATGTCTCTAGTTGTATTCTTGTCACTATTTCCCTTTAGTTCTATTAATAATGGCAACATGTGGCCCTCCCTGGTGGCGCAGCGGGTTAAAGCACAGCATTAAGAAGCTAAAGCCACTTCCGCATGAGTTCCATCCCCACCCGGGAGGTGACCCACATGGCGTGGGAGACCTCTCCTGACCTGCCCACTGCTCCCCTCAGCAGTGTACTTCGCCAGTCAGCCTGTTCTGCTTTCTGCTGTCTCTGGTAAATCCTCTCACTGCCCCTGCACCTCTGGCCTGTACCCCAGTTCTGTAGCAGCAGGCAGGTCTGGAGAGGTCTGCCAGCCTTATGGATCACCCTAACCCCCCACGCAGCATCGAACTTGCACTAAAGTGGCTGCGGCTCACTTGCAGTGCAGCGTCCTTATCCATTGCACCACCACAGAAGGCCCATAAATAAATAAATCCTTAATAATAATAATAATAATAATGGCACCATGTGTCCTGGTGCACCATCATTCCATACATATGTATGTTTTCCTTGTGAGGCTTTTAACTGCTCTGTAATATCCATTCCAGCTCTTACTACCTTTTTTTAAAAAGTGAGTATCTGTGTTAACAGATATAAGTATAGTTGATTTTTTTATTTCCATTTGCTTAAAGATTGTCTTCCAGTGTTTAAATCTAAATCTATGCTTGTTTTTGTTGATCAGCTGATTTCCTGTAAACAGCAGAAAGTTGGACTTTGTTTAGAAATCCACTAAACCACACTGCAGAGTAGGTCAATTCAAGCCATTGACCTTGATGAGCAGCAGTTACATTGCCTTGACCACTTTTCTAATATCAGTGTTTGGAATTACTGTTTGTCTTGATGTTCCTCAGATTTTCTTCCAAATTAAATAATGCACCATAAATTTTGTTTAGAGTGGTTGTGTCTTAGTTGTGCTTTCCACTGCAAAGGGAGAAAAGGATAACTATACAAGGGGAAGTTGAGAGAGAAGAACTGACAAGATTCTCAGGCACAGGTACATTTTCCAATGAACAGAAGTATTCAGTGGTGTTAAGAACCTGAAATTGCTTTAAACAAGAATCTGGCTCTTTAATTCTATTAATCGTAGCCCATTGTAATTACTGTATTATAGAACCCCTTCAGCATCTGCTTCAATGAAAAGAAAATGTACCTCATTAAATATTTCTCACTTAGTATTTGTAAACAAATCCTGCTTCCAAAGCTGCGGAAGATTTCAAAAGCATTTTGATCTATGTGAACATCAAAACCTATTTATTCAATTAGTACCCTTATCTCAGAGATAACACAAAAGAAAATTCAATATCATGCTTCTCCAATTATCTGAAATTCTGAGGCAACAGTACTCCAGATTGTACTGTTATAGTGTGCACTATTAATAAAATGTTCATATCAATTAAAAATGACATAAAATCAAAGGAATCTGAATTAAGTGTTTTTCCCAATCTCACTGTATAATACATTGCAATCTTGTGTGACTTTGTAATATAATAGAGTCAATTATTCACTCCTTTGGTTGTCCTAATAACTCTTGAAGTTCTTAGCATAACACAGGTTTGAGTCATAAGAAGTAAAGATTCTGACCCTTTGGGAAAATTCTGCAGTAGTCAGAGATTTTTCCCTGCTTTGGAAACCAGCTCACATTCTTTCCTTCCCATTCATTTCAGAAAGATGATCCAGATGACTCCCCTATAGAACTCAGCAAAGTACAGAGTGTGAAAGTTGTGGCCAAGAAACGCAGGGACCGCTCTCTCCCTCGGGCTTTTGAAATCTTCACAGACAGTAAAACTTATGTGTTCAAGGCCAAGGATGAGAAGAAGGCAGAAGAATGGCTCCAGTGCATCAATGTGGCAGTGGCCCAAGCAAAAGAGAGGGAAAACAGAGAAGTGACCACATATCTGTAGGGATTTGTGAGCCAGCCTCACTCACAGTGAGCAGTGCATTATCGCTGCCAGTGTCAAGAAAAAGAGAGAAACTCACCACGCATGAATGTTCTCAATGAACTGCTGAGAAGCAGGACCTAACAGTGGCAAGATATAAGAAGACGACTTTAACACTGGTGGCACAATGGGTTAAAGCACAGCTCCATGAAGCAATCCACAGCCACTGCAGCACGAGTTCGATCCCTGGCCAGGGAGCCTACCCACAAGGCGCAGCAGACCTCTCCTGTCTTACCCTCTACTCCCTTCAGCGTGTGTTTCAGGCAGTCTGCCTGTTCTGTTCTCCACTCTTTCTCTGGTGAATCCTCTCACACCCCACAACTCTGTCCTGTACCCCAGTTCTTGTAAACATAAATAAATCTTTAAATAATAATAAAAAAAAAAACAGACAACCTTAAGAAACACCTGAACTATTTATCCTGAGGAAAGATGAGGCACTTCTATTAGACACCACAGTTTTTCAAAGGTATTTATAGGAGAAAAAAAAAACCTACTAGGAAAAGTTAAACCAATAGACATTAGGGAAACATATAAATTATTTTCTAGATGAGTAGTTACATCTATGGTCTCCTAATGTAAATGAAGCTAAAATATGGTGAGATGATTTTCAAGTTAATTCAGCTGTATAATTAAATGTTTACCTTCCAGAATCACTTATTTGAGTATTTCTTTTAAGTTCATATAACATGATCTAAAATTTTAAATACTTGAAAATATCTCCTTCCCAAGGCAAACATAGAAAACCATTTTCTCTATTTCCAAAATATGTCATCTCCATTATCCATTCAACTTTGATATTTTAAAATTATACTTCTCTGTATTCTCTCTTGAAATGCCTCTAGATTATAAATATTTCTTCATCATTTTCCATAAACTTTTTAAAAAGCATAGTACACAGACCTCTGGGATGACTCCCACAGACCTCCATCCTATATCCTCCACCCTTGAATGTGGTACAAACTGCAACTTGCTTCTGATGAATAGAATATGACAAAAAGAATACGATTTTTTTCTCCCATGATTGTGTCATATTCTATGGCAAAGGCAAAGAGAATTTTCCAATGTAATTAAGGTCTCTGATCAGCTAACTTTCAGTTAATTGAAAGGAGTCTGCTCCTGAATTAAGCCCATCCTAATGAGACAAGCCCTTTAAAAGAGGATGAATAAGTTCAAGATTTTCTCTCCCGAGGCTTGAATAAGCAAGCATAATGAGCTCTATAATTCCAAGGGGATGAATTTTGTCAGCAACCAGTGAGCATGGAAGAGGACCCCTAACCTCAGATAAGTGCGGTCCCCGGCCAACACCATAACTGCAGCTTTGTGGCACTCTTAGAAGAGCTTTCTCTGAACGCCTGATCCAAAGACACTTTGAGATAATAAAAAAATACACTGTTTTAACCCTTTCAAGTGTGTGGTAACTTTGTTATGTATCGACGAATAGCCCAAAAACTAACTTGGAATACCCATAGAGAATAATTTCTTCCCTCGTCCCTGCTAGACTGTGTAGTCTAGTATGAAAATTGGAGAAAGAGTGTAAGTAGTTAGAATTCTTATTTATACCTTGGCTCTCTTGCCAATGCACTATGTGAAAAATATAAAATAGACCTGTGTGATGCACATAATCTAATTTTCATATGTAAAGTTTCAAGGTACTGTGAGCTGCAGAATTTATCACAATTAGGTAATACAGTCTGGAGGTCAAATTTTGAGTTTATGAGGTATATGCATGGATGGATGGTAATGGAAAATGTAGAATTTGACTAAGTTAGGAAGAATAAGACTAAAGAACTAATAAGGGTTTCTGTGAACAACCAACATTTAAGCAAGATAGGTTGGACTGACAATTAGTGTTAAGACATGATAGAAGCCAAGGGAAATAATGTCACAAAAGCCAAATAAATAAAGGCTCTCAGGAAAGGGGAGAACTCAGTAATGTGAAATTGTGAAGAACAACCACTTAAGATTAAAAAAAAAAAAAAACAGGTTTTTGCAAAGAGGAAACCATTTATATCATTGGTCAGAAGAATTTCTTTGAAGAGATGGGGTAAAAGTCAAGTTGCAATTATTGAAAAATTAGGCTGCTGCTTCTACAACTCCCTTTGCTTTTCCACTTCCCCATATGACTAAAGCTGTTTATCAATAAAAAGGCCAGGATCTTGCTTTTCAGCAGCATCCTGCATTATATAGACTCCAGTTTCTTTATCAGTGTGGTGTTGCCCTAACAACAGATTTTGACATTTACAATTCATTAATAATACCACAATCAAGGCCATTCCTTTAAATACAAATCTGCTTAGAACCTTTCAATGGTACTTTACCATTACAAAGAAAATGTTCAAGATCCTTAGTGTGGAATCAAACCCTTGACACTTGTTTGACCCTGCAGGGCTTTCAGTACCACTTTGCAACATTCTCTTAAGTCCCCTTGTGTCACAGCCTTAGGTAAGGACTGAAATTCCCTCTCTCTCTTTTGCCATTGCAAAGGGGTTCCTTGTGGTGATCATTTCCTTCTTGTCTTCCCATCACCCTCCTGCTAGTTCTTTAGGAAGAGCTCTGTCTTAATACTTCTGGGAAACAATGTGGAAGTCCAGGCTGCATGCACAGCTCCATCAAGTACTGTTATAAGACACTTCAACTTTGTCACAGGTCTGTCTTTTCCATTATGTTATAAAGCCCGGAGGTAGGAGCTAGGCCTTTTATTTTTTATCTCCAGACAACACATTATACATGTTGTTTGCCACCATGTATTAACTGCTGTTAAATAAAGGAGTTTGAATCCTTTCCTACCAACCAGTTACTTTCCTCTTTCTATATTTTTAACTTCTTTTTCTTAAGTTTAATTCATCTTAAACAAACAATAAAACACTTTCTCCTCTTTGCTCCTCTTTGTTAAAAGCATAGTCCCATTATTGCTTTAAATGTTTAACCTCCCTCTAATTTTTCAAGGGCTGTAGGAACAAAAAGGATGCATCTCTCACGACACTTAGCTGCTTTCTTGGAAACTTTACCTGTAACACTGCCATTCACCAAGACAGAAGATTCTGAATCAATGGTTTAAGAAATGAGATCTTTCTTAATGGTGGTAAGTGCTTTAATGTGTACATTCAGAGCCTAGATAAGTGATTTGCCTGTGACTGGAGAGAATAGTCTTGCAAATTTGAGCAAGAAAAGAGTAAGAACAGATGATTATAACTGATTTGTGAAATATCTTAAAATCTACTAGCCTAATCTTTTTTTCCAAATAGACTACTCTTTTTACTTTTATTTTCTTAATTTTTATTTTATAAATATATTATTTACATTATTCTTCATTTTGTACATTTTTCCATCTCAGTTGTAATCCCCATGGACTTCCCACCACCACTTCACCCATGTGCCATCACTATAGTCCCATGTGCTCTACCCACCCCAGTTTTGATCTTGTTCCCCTCTTTTCCCCCATAGAATGTCTCTGGCATATAGTTGTTAGTTGATGTTCTTTTTTACTTTGTTACAATGACTATATATGTATTTATTTCTGATCCCTTATACTTTTTCTGGCTTATTTCACTAAACATGATCTTTTCCAGTTCCATCCATGTTGCTGCAAGTAGCGTGAGTTTATCTTTTTGATAGCTGAGTAATATTCCACCATGTGTAATATACATATCTTCTTGATCCAGTCATCTATTTTTGGGCATTTGGGTTGATTCCACATCTTCCTTATTGTAAATAAACCAGCAATAAACAGAGGGTACAGGTGTCCTTTTGAATTATGGTTTTTTTTTGTCCTTTGGGTATATACCTACTAATAGAATTGCTGGATCATATGGAAGCTCCATTTTTAGCAGTCTGAGAAACCTCCAAGCAGCTTTCCATAGTGGCTATACCAGTTTACATTCCCACCAGCAGTGCAGGAGAGTTCCTCGCCAACATTTGTTGTTGCTAGTTGTTATAATATGTGCCATTCTCACTGGTGTGAGGTGGTATCTCCCTATGGTTTTGATTTGCATCTCCCTTATTATAATGATGCTGAACATTTTTTCATATGCCTATTGACCACCTGCGTTTCCTTTTTAGAGAAGTGTCTTTGTAGCTCTTCTGCCCATTTTTTATATTTCACTTTATATTTGTTTAGTTTGATCAGCTCTTTGTATATCTTTGTGACCAGTCCTTTATCATTCGTGTTATGAGTGAAAATTTTCTCATTCTTAAGAGTCAGTGAATAACCCTAGCTGGATTAACCAGTTTGGTAAAACTAGTAACAGACAAAGAGAAATACAGTATTAAGTGATGTTGCATGAGTTTTTAATAATTTAAATGCCAACTGTATGTGCAAACCTATCATAGCTGAGAGATAAAGTAAAACACTGATTTTTGTTTCCATATGATTCAGCAATTCTACTAGTAGGTATATACCCAAAGGACAAAAAAACAATAATTCAAAAGGACACCTGTACCCTCTGTTTATTGCTGGTTTATTTACAATAAGGAAGATGTGGAATCAACCCAAATGCCCAAAAATAGATGGCTGGATCAAGAACCAGGACCCCACCAGGTCAATTTGAATGAATTATTTTTACTACTTGTGACAAAGTGCTTATGATTTAATTGACTATGCCTGATTTAGAAGATAATTCTAAAGTCTTTTAGCCAACTCTTAAAAGAAGTAAATGTATGAAGTGTAACAATGGCCTTTCTGGTTTCATCCCATGATGCAGTAACTCCAAATGCAAGCAAATTCGCCTGGGTTCAAAGCCAGATTGCGAATTTCAGAATCATGGTCTTCCCACTGACTTTTCTGGCACGTCCCCCGCTCCCCAATGCCGACCACTCACCAGTTTGGCCTTTCCCAAGAGGGCGGCTGCTCCCAATCCTGCTCTAAGAAGAAACCACTTTTCTAAACATGTTTAAACATTTTAAAATGCTGGTATGAATGCAATTATAATCATGGACAGAAATTCAAGTGGTTTTCATTTTTATTTCATTTTAATTCTCTTTCCTTCCCAGAGTCAGCTATCTATGTGAGCAGCTCATCTGGTTGTTTCTTGAGAACCCTGAATTCAGTTTAGAAAAATACATATTTAATGCTTTTCTAACACTGTTTTTTTTTTTTTTTTAGAAAATTCTTGTTTGATGACAGTAGAGGGATGTTTTGTATTTATCTACTTTCTGTAAACACTTTGGGGCCTATATGTGGTATA